CATCAAGACTTCAGCCGCAGGGTCGCTGCTATCGCACTCGGATACGGTCTCCGCGGAGCCAGTCGACAGGTCGAACAGGCCGTGAAGAGTTTTGTCGGGCTCGATTACCACAACTTGATGGATGGTCGAACGTCGAGCCATAACGTGCTTCATCCACCGCTGAAGCCGCGATCGACCGGATCGCTTGCGGCGACGAATGACGGGGAGTGAAAACACCATCTGGGTCGACTGATACTGAGTTGACGGCTGCCAAAGGAGAACGCCGCGAACGCATGCTCGGAAGTGCGTTGCCCCTCGAACGGGGAGCACCTCAACGTCCAGGGGAGCTTCTTGAAGCCACGCGGAGTTGTCGGCGACGAACACGAGCGCGCCGAGACGGATCTCGCGGCCCTCAGCCAATCCGCCGCCGGAAACCATGACGATGATGATCGGAAAAACTTGCAACTTCACCAGCAAGTCGCTAAGATACCTGCCCCACGGTGGGCGCCAACTGTCGTGGTCCTAAGACTGACTGTAGAAAGGGGGGTAGGTATGGAGAGGCAAGATCTCAGCTATGGTGAAGGTGTACACAAGAGGTTTATGAGTTCAGGCCCTTCACGGTGGAAGTAAGAGCCCTACGTCTCGGTACCCTGGGGCGTTCGATTGGATTATGTGTGTGATATTACAGGGAATGTGAACCCTTGTGCCAGAGAAGGAGGGTGGCTTATATAGAGTGCGCCAGGACCCTCACAGTCCTCCATTATAAGGGACTTAATGTACATAAAGTATGGGCGTTACTAGTAATGTCTGCCTTAAGTGCTATTAATGATCTTAAAGACTATGGAGTGAATCCCTGACCGTTACAGCGTTGAGTGACTCCTGGTCTTCAGTGTGGTCGAGTGACTCTCCATATGGTCGAGTGACGGTAGGGAGGAGGACCTCCGAGTGATGTGGCCGTTGAGTGGATTGCACTCAACGTGCACAACCAGGGCTCTCTTGTTCTCTCTTGGTACTTTTATCTTCCAGGGTAGTGACCTTGGGTAGGGCGTATAGGTCAGGCCTATGACCCTACCCCAAGTCTGTATCCTCATCAGTCCCAACCAGGACGCCTGCCGGGTATGGGGCACCCACCAGTCTGGCGCACTCCTCAACCATGACGCCTGCCGGGTATGAGGCCGCCGTAGCCACCTGCCACCAATCCATCTGCAGTGTTGTACTGCTGCATCTACCTTGCCCGGTCTAGTTGCCGTCGACATCACCACGACACCAGACAACACCACCATCCTGTGCTCATCCATCATCACAGGCCCACTGGCGAAACCCCGATGTTCCATGTCGCTGAGACCCGCCGATGTTGACGTGCCAGATGCCATGCCGCTCCTCCATCGCGAACACCACCTGCTGCCACTGGTCCCATCCCTCCGCCTGCAGTTCCTCTAACCAAGCACCCGAACGCCCCGGGCGACGCCTCCAAGAAGGGTACGACACACGCAGTGCCGCCACCGCCCAATCTAAGGAGATTTCGGGTTTTCACCCGGGTATGGGGTCAGGGTTTACGGCAGGGACCTCAACGGCGCCTGCAAGTAGGATAACAGCGACCCTGGTCGTCGCCACCGTTGGGATGAATGAATCATCCAGAGTGTCCTCCGGTCCGATGTCACCTCTACCAGCCCCCGCGAATGCACAGGGGCATACGACCGCGATCGTCAGCCACCAAGTGCAGCGGGAGAAGGCCTGCAGCACGAAGGAGATCCACCGGCAACGCACCGCCCACGCGGTCAAGATGCCGTCCATCCAACCCCCGCGAACGTCGCCAGCCGAGGACGCCGTCGCCATGCCTAACGAGGCCGCCGCCCCAGGTCTAGGTTCCTCCGAGATGGACGGAGTGGCGAGATCCGTCACGAGCGACGAGATTCGGCACCGTGCATCCGACGCCATCGCCGAAGCCCGCCGTCGACCGATCCCACCGCCGCCGGGACCCCACACGCTGCCGGGAGTCCCACACCAATGGATCTGGGCGCCCGTGCACCACCGCGAGACCGCCGCCTCTGGGATCCGCCACGCCTTCGGGAGGGCCGCACCCCGCGAATCAGGACGCCCGCGCCGCCGTGGATCCGGGAGAGGGAGGAGAGACCCTCCGCCATCGCCGTCGCACGCACGGGCTTTGCCCGGCGCCGACCATCGGCAGCGGCGGAGGGGGAGAAGGGCGCTCGAGGGTTGCTAGGCGGTGGTGACGGCGGCTGAGCCCTCCCGAGCCGCACGCGGATCAACTATGGCATGTACGATTAACAATCAAATAAATAGAACATTTACAACGGGAATAATTTAGATCGATCATCACACAATCAAATTTATCAACCAACTCGATAGGGTTCATCCCCCTACTCGCTAAACTGTATGATAGCAATCAGGTAACTATGTACAAACTACAGATACCTCCTAGTAGTTTGATATCATACCCTAAGATTAACGGAAATGTTAACGCCCACACGTGTGGGCGTTGACCATCTCGACCACACGCATCCATCATCGTCCAGTACTATATGCACGAATCTTGACACAATCTGACTGATTTTCTGTGCCACGTAGGACAAGGCGTGTGTGTGCTGTGTGACATAGTTCGCCCACACATCTGTTTTACCACACGGAGGGGCCAGTGTGTGAGCGCTTAGCAGTTCACCCACACACCAGTTTTCAGTCACGCACAAGGGCTGGTGTGTGGGCATTTGCCATCTCGCCCACACGCCCGTCTCCTCTCCCACACGTAAGCTGCTAGTTGCCATGTGTTTTTGCAGCGCACATGGCAACTGCCTCTAGTGTGCTTTATAAGCAGGTGGCAACTCTCTTTTTTTATCCGAGTAGCCATGTGTTTTTTGCAGGGTACACGGCAACTGCCTAGTGTGCACGTAAGCAGATGGCAACTGTCTTTTACCGAGTTGCCATGATGTTTTTGCATGGTACATGGCAACTGCCCCAACATGCACGTACATGGCAACTGCCCTAACGTGCACGTAAACAGATGACAACTCTTCCTTTTTACATGGCAACTGCCCTAGCATGCTTGTGAGCACATGGCAACTCTCTCAACTGCCTAGTGTTAGTATGTGGCAACTCCTAAAGTTATGAAATCATGGCAACTACATTAGATCAGACCATACATGGCAACTGCAGTTGAGCAACCATGGCAACTGCAGTTGTTCGACATGGCAACCGTAGTTCAGCGACATGGCAACTGCAGATAAACGAACATGGACGAGGGTCTGGACCATGGCAACTGCGGGCGCGCGGTGGGCGTCACGCGTCGCGTGCGGGACCAGAAGGGTACGAGGCCTGACATACGGACGTGTGGGCGTTATCAACTTCGCCCACACGCGCGTGTGTGAGAGGGTTCAGGAGGGGAAAAAAAGATGTGTGTGGGCATTAGTTGTTTTGCCCACACGTAGGTGTGTGGGTTGGTTGCTGTCCATGCCACACGAGGCGTGTGGCACAAGTACCTGATACACCACACGTGTGGCAGTTATCGGAACCCAAGATTAATCAGCACTCCCTCCGTCACAGGCCAGCATTATGCCTTGGACGCAACAACAAACACACGACGATCCTCCTCGAATCACCACCGCCTAATTAACTCAATCCTTAATCGAAAGTTAATGAAGCAACTAATCAGTCGAAGAGCTAGCATCAACCAAATACCCATCTATAGCTACCAGCAAACTGAGACGCTCCAGATCTTCCACATCAGATCATCCACATGTTGGAGTAGTCCATGAGAGGCTCGCCCCGGAACAGCTCCTCCAGATCGAGGTACGACCGCGATGACGGCATCAGGAAGGAGGTCTCCGCGCCGGCAAGCGCCGCCGTGTCCAAGCCCAGCGAAGGGCTCAGCAGCGCCGACGAAGACGCTACCTCCGCCTTCGGCTTGCAGTACCTGCGGATCGCGGCCTGCTGGTCCCCCATAGCCTGGTAGGGTGAGTACTCGGCGCCGCCAAGATTGCCGTTGGCCGTCGCCGGCATGAAGAAGTAGTTGGGGCTCTGCTGCTGCTGCGGATGCAGCACCGGTAGCTCCGCGTCCGGCTCAAGCGGCAGGGCCGCGCTGCAGGTGGAGCTCGAAGCGCCGGCGAAGTCGTCAGCGCCAGACGGAGAGTCCATGAGCATCGGCAGGTCCGCGTCGTCGAACAGGTCGGTGTCGATGAGCAAGTCATCGAGGAAGGCGAGCGGGTCCTCCATGCCACCGTCGGCCGCCGGCGCCATCTGGGGCGCATTCCTCGCCGCCAAGTCTTTGTTGAACACCCGGCAAACAGCCCAATCGTCCTGCACGCACGCAACAGGCAGGTTGAGAAAGCAACACGAGAAGAATAAGAAACAAGAAACAAATCGCGAGCGCCACATGTGAGCGCGTGGTCCAGTCCAGCAGCATCTCCGGATGCTCCGGCGGCTCGACCGATCGACAGGGCGACGGGGATAATCGAATCTTGCCGTACCTTGGCGGTGCGGGGAAGGCGATGGGGCAGCTCGCCCTCGAGGCGGTACTCGTGCATCACCCACGGCGTCTTCCCGCCGCTGGGGGCGCGGCCGGTGTAGAAGACGAGCGTCTTCTTCATGCCGACGAGGACGGCGTCCCGGCCCTTGCCGCGGAAGATCTCCTTGTCCTTCCCCGTCGCCTTCCAGTACCCCTTCTTCGTCGCCCGGTTGGTGCGCGTCCCCGTCGGGTACTTCCGACCCTTGTGCACGAAGAAGAACCACTCCTTCTCGCCCATCTTCGCGAGGCCTGCAAAAAACGAAGATGCCGGCCATGAGCGCGCTGCAAATCATGTAAGAGAACGCTCTTATCGAGGAGTGGTGCTGCACTCACCCGGGAGCTCCCACGGCTCGTTCTTGTTGAGGTCGACGTCGGTGATCACTTTCACTTGGCAGGAGAAGGATTCGCGGAGGACCTTGCGGGTGAGGTAGTGGGTGACCACCTCCTCGTCGGTGGGGTGGAACCGGAACCCCGGTGGAAGCACCAGCTGCGGCTCCTCCACCTCCAGATCCATCACAGCCGTCACGTCCGACATGGAGGATCTACTAGATAGCCTTGCTACGCTGTGGAAGAACCTGATGGAACGAGAGCTGAGGAGGAGGAAGAGGTAGATCGAGATGTTAGAGGTGATTTCGTCTGTACGGTTTGGGGTTTGGAAGATCGGGCGGGGTGGGCTTATATAGCGTCAGATGGCTATTAATTAATTGCTTTAGTAGTAATTCCAAGGCAGTAAATTAATGCTGCTACCAAGCGGCTAAGCATGTCTGAATGAATCGCTCATGAGAACATCCTGGATAACAACTGCAATCCTCAAGTGTTAATAGGTTGCTACATATCCCGAAAAATAAATAAAAATAGGTAGCTAACATTTTAAATCACGGATGAAACCGACGCAATTCACGGCGCTATCTCCGTTCGGAAACTGCCCCGCAATTTGAGTGATATTGTGAATCACGGGAGAAAACGCTGAAATCGTCAGAGATGAAGCATTTCCTGCCGCTAAATTCTTTCTTCGGCGATTTTAATCCTTGGTTGCTAATGACACTACTTCTGGATAAGCACTGTGTAATCACCAAGTGTTAACCTGCTAATGATAAGTGCTAATTCTATTTGACACACACACATACACAGAGTTTGTTGTTAACGATTATGTACACACCGTTAGGTGGTTAGTAGTGCACACGTCAGTGTCACTGCTGTTTTTGTGTGTGACCGAGAAAAAGAGCGGCCGATAATTCGTCCCAGAATTCCACTTGTACAGTCGCCATGAAAGATACCAGTAACAATGAGACTTAACGTCTAGCTGTCTCTAGCGAGGCCGTCCATATGCAGCCACAGAAAATTCAGAAAAACGGCTGACGAGCTCGGGAGTGAAAGCATACCGGTCTGCGTTGTCGAATCGAGGGTTAAATCCATAGTGTCAAGATCTTTTTCTCACTAACCGGACATGTACGGGTACTGAACAACACACAAAATGGCACGTGAAAATGCCCTATTTTTATGCAGTGCCTAAGAGCAACTCCAATGCAAAGACCCAAAAGGACACGGATTTTGTCCGTTTGTCGTCCGTTTGGGTCATCTGTCCGCCTAGGCGGACATGGGACGGACAGAGACGGACTGTGGATGCACCCAATGCACAGCCCTCGAGCGGACAAACGCAGCAGCCGAGTGAACTGAGTTGACCGCCGTGGACAGAGTTGACCGTCAGCGAAGCTCGCCGGCGGCGCGCCCACCCCCGCGAAGCTCGAAATCAGCGAAGCTCGCCGGCGGCGGCTGCCTTTTCCCGGTGTCGAGGAGCTGCAGTGCGACCTGTTTGCTCCGGCCTCGCCTGGGCTTGTTGTGGTCGAGCGTGGCACTGCTGCTGGTGCTTGGAATCGGATCTGGGGAGGTCAAGGTGGCCGAGCGTGGCGGCAGGCGAGCTCCTGCTCGATGCCCTGAAGGCGTCCATGGCGACGGCGCGGTGAGAGGATGATGGGGACGACGGGGGAGGCGCGAAGACCGGTGGGGGCGGCGGATCCGCGCGGGACCGGATGGATCTGGCCGGCCGGCGCCGGATCCGAGCAACGGCGGATGAGGTTGGTGTGGCGGCGCAGGAGCTGGGGACGAGCGGGCGGTGGCGCGGGAGCTGGGGACGAGCGGGCGGTGGTGGTGGGAGGCTGAATCGCTAGTGCGAGTCGCTGATGCGTGGGACCAGACCGGACACGCGAGGTCACGAGCGAGGACACGAGCGAGCGACGAGAGCGTCCGCGTTTGTCCGCGCTGACCCATTTGTGACTCAAATTTAAGCCCAGTTTGGGTCCGGACAGACAACAAACGGACAGCAGGCGGACGCCATGTCCGTTTGGATCGCCCCGTTGGGCCATCTTTTCTGTCTGGATGATCCAAACGGACAAAATGAGTGTCTCCTTTGGAGTTGCTCTAATCAGGCCTAGTAGTTGAATCCACGGAGTTCATTGACGAGACGAATTTCTAATGGAGACGGTAGGTAGAAGACTCGTATAGTAAAATACAAACTGATTTGACTTTGTCCAGGGGAAGAAATCCAAATGTTTGACAGTGCAGAACAGTATGTACCACCATATATTCCACTTGCATTTTGCTCAGAGAAAATGCTTTGAGAAACTGCGACCGTTTTCTCTTACACGAGTAGTCCGCATCCGATTTACGGTTGTCCCGAGTTTACCTTACAGAAAAGTCTGCCGTTGATATAAGTTTATCAATAATAAGTCCCTCCGTCCTATAACTAGCTTGAAAAACGATTTTATATTATGCGACCGAGGGAGTAATAGTTTTGTCTGTTACTCAGGGAAAAAATGCAAACAAATACTTAGCCACTAAGCACTAGTATGTTATCAACGATCTTAATCTTGACGCGTATGGTCCTTGGATCGGCCAGGATATACACGTATTTATGTATGCAAAGACTAAATCTTGAGTGCATTAAATGCATCTTAAATTAAATGCATATACACGTATTCTTATGAACGATCTCAATTTCACGTGAAATGCCCTAAATCTTGAGTGATCAATTTAATTGAGGTGTGATGGGCGCTACGGAAAAATCCGGCTATGACGCTGCGGAGGCGCTAAATGCTTATGTCAGGCGTTGGTGAACGCGTATGCTGCCGTGGTTGGTCCTATCACAAGTCACAAGAGTGTATCTGGAAAAAAATAATGTGTAATTAATTCAGCAAATCATGCCATATCTGTAAACTAGATACAGTTGCAACCTATCCAGCTTCCTGGACATTTCTTCGCCTATCCATGCCCTAGCTGCCTTTTCTTGAGCTGAAATATTATCCCATATCTTTAATGCATCCTACTGTAGATTGCTAGTACGAAAAAGGAATGGTCATCTGAATTTTGTGAAGTAATTAGCACAATATTCAACCAAAACCAAGTGTTTCCTCGCACACAGCAATTCAGAAACCTGTGGGTACAGAACAACACCGAAGAAGATAATGCTATACATGTATGCGATCATCAACTGATGATCGATAATTACCAATCTATTTTGCGGCCAACACTTCCAAAATTGCTAATGGGTTCGGTGCTAGAAGCTGCACGACGGGGAATCTCTATCCACAAAAATACGGGGAAGCTGCACGACGGGGAAGGACGCCGGAGATGCGGACGGCGGAGGAGCCTGGCGAAGGGGAGGAGCGACGGAGTCCTCCTCCGTCTCGCGAAGGGGAAGAGCGACGGAGTCCTCCTCTGCCTGGCGAAGGGGAGGAGCGACGGAGTCTTGGCGGAGGGAAGGAGCGACGGAGAAAGACGACGACATGAGCGCGATTTCAAATCGGGGGTAGTTTTATAATTTCACTACTTTTCACCCGGTCGGAAAAGACCCCCCACCGACAGTTATTTCGGAACGGAGGGAGTATTTGTCTTTCTATAGATTTCCACAATTAACTACTTCCTTCGTCCCATAATATAAAAACGTTTTTGACACTAGCGTAGTGTTAAAAACGTTCTTATATTTTGGGACAGAGGGAGTACATACAGAGCAAAATGAGTAAATCTACACTCTAAAATATATACATATACATCCATATGTGATAGTCCATTTGAAATTTCTAAAAAAACAAATATTTAGGAACGGAGGGAGTAGATTGCTAGTACGAGAAAGGAATGGTCATCTGAATTTTGTATGTGAAGTACTCCCTCCGTAAACTAATATAAGAACGTTTAGATCACTACTTTAGTGATCTAAATGCTCTTATATTAGTTTACAGAGGGAGTAATTAGCACAATATTCAACCAAAACCAAACGTTTCCTCGCACACAGCAATTCAGAAACCTGTGGGTTCAGAACAACACCGAAGAAGATAATGCTATACATGTATGCGACCATCAACTGATGATCGATAATTACCAAGCTATTTTGCGGCTAACACTTCCAAAATTGCTCATGGTTCGGTGCTCGAAGCTGCACGACGGGGAATCTCGATCCACAAATATACGGCGTGGTGTTTGGTGGACCTGATCATCGGTAAGACTCAGAGTCCCCGTCGCCGGCCACATTGTCGGTTTTCGGAAGCAGACAAGTCTTCCTTATCATTCCTCGACAGCAACACTGTACTACCTGCTTCCATCTCTGAAGATCACGGATATGGAAGTTTCGTTGGCATTAAATTCTCACAACGTGACATATAAAACCCCACAGCACATATGAGAGAGAGGAGAGAGATTCTCTGGAGATGTTTTACTCCAAAGCCGGCCAATTTTAAACGTGATTTTTATATTGCTGTGGTCTGCGACGATCGCAGGCCAAACCAGGGACCGATCGATTTGCTTGGTCCCAAAGGGCAGAAACGAAATGCAAATGCATGGCAGATGCAAAACCCTTATCACCTAAGCATACGCTGCTGATCTGGTACCATCCTTTTTGCTTGATTCCTCTCTCTTTTTTCGTGGCCAAAAGTAAGAAAGATAATTTGCTCTTTTTCTCTTGGCACGGGCGTAGTGCTATTTGTGCGTGAAGGGTGCAAATCCACTGCCAGGAAACGGGTGTGTTCGCTAGTGCTAGCATAGTAGTAGTATGCGCTACTGCTGGTATCCCGTAGGATATATTTTTTGCTAGTGGCCTACAAAAAGCTTTCTTCAGTTGAGTAACTCCTGGAAAGAATTCGGTGACTTGATCCACCCGGTTGCGTGGCCATCTCCTTGGCAGGATGCTCCGGTTGTGATCGGATATGAGAACGTTTATAACCCTATAATTAATTAAGGCAAGGAAGGATGCTAAAACAAAAGGATATGGAATTTTTTGCGAATAAAAAGGATATGGAAATTTGATAAGTAGAAAGATTTCTGTCTACCAATCACATTGGAGAACCGATTTTGACCCCAAGATCTCTATAGAGGGCTTGAATTTCAGGGCATTGACGAACCGTTTCACCGAGGAGGTGGAAAAAAATGCCGTCAACCGAAAGCCAGGAGACAAGGTACCCGGTCCGGACGGCTTTACAATCGCCTTTTTCCAAAAACTAAAAAGAATATCTAGGTAAATAGGACGTTATGGAAGCCATTTACCTA